TTGAGCATGTCCACATTAATATGCTCTTTAAATCAAATCAAATCAAATGCTAAGTATATATCATAAAAAGTAATCTATTCTAATACAATATCATATAAAAGTGGGATCTACAGTAAGCACCCAAGGGTGTGGCTTAGTGGCCAATGAAGTGGGAGGAGAAACATGAGGTCTCAGGTTCAAATCCCAGTGGAAGCAAAAAACACTAAGTAATTTCTTCCAATCTGCCTAATCATCGGTGGGAAAAGTTAACCGATACTTGTGCTAGTGGGAGATATAGGTATCTGGTGCAATTAGTCGAGATGCGCTCGAGGTGGCCCAGACACCATTATCAACAGAAAAGGAAAAAACAAAGTGGGATGTAAAGTATCCACATAAACACGTCAAGAAAAATAATTATTCTAGAAGATAGGGAAGTAAATGTGAAGGATGCAGAAGTCCAGAATCGTAGTTTTGATGAAATGAATCACTAATTTAATCGTGGAAAAGCTATTAATATCACAACACTTGGGTAAGCATGTAAATATGAAGGTTTGAACAAAATATACGTATATACAATCAAACCTCTCTAAAACAGCCTCGTTTGTTCCAATAGTTTTCGACTATTCCGGCGAAGTGCTATTATAGAGAAAATATATTATAATATAACATAAAAAATTAGTTCCAAGGAAAACTTGACCGTTATAGTGAAGTGTTATTATAGAGGTTGTTTTAAAGAAGTCTGACGGTAGTTTATCTACATAAAAGGATGGGGCTGGTAAATGTAACTTGAACCCACTACAGTATCTCTGAAAAGCTGGTCAGATGAGTCAACCAGATAAGAAGTGCATACACACTCAAAGTATACCAAAGTATCAGTACATTTAAAACTGGTGAGATACAGAGGTTATTAGACAAGCAAAAACTATGAAAAGCTAAAGTTTGAGAGATGAAAGTAAAACATATATTGGTAATACAGGCAATAAATCTTACATGACTCCATTTGGGTTAAGCCAGCGTTCACGAGCACAGATAACTGAGTCAAACATTGATTCACGTAGAAGGAAGTATCCCATCCATTCTGAAATGATTACATCAACTGCACACCACCGATTTACACAATCAGAATCAGAGACGGTGGTTATTAAGAGATGATGAAGGGTTATTCATATTTCATTAGATGGTCAGAGGTGACGTGAAAGCTAAGCAATGGGAATAATAGAGTCGAGACCAATATATATACATACATACATATATATATACATATATGTATATATGTATGTATATATTCATCTATATATATATATATATATATACATATATATATTGCAAGGATTAATAAGAAAATAAAAGACTAACCCTTCTCGGGCAGAGTAATATCTTCCATTGACCCCTCAATCACTTCAACAACATGCTCAAGGCCATTTGTTTTAACAAGTTGACGTGCATGTTCTGCCATCTTGGTGGCTTCGACTGCATAGACCTTCCTTGCACCTGCTTGTGCTGACCATATTGCCAATATGCCACTCCCTGTCCCTACATCCAGAACAGCCTACAAAAATTTCCATCTAAATTAATCCCAATATACAACTGAACATCTTAGTGAAGATATTACTAGCAGCAATCCAGCCAGAGCAACCATTCAATTAAGAGTTCAAGAAGAGCAATTTATGTGAAGCTTATAATTTAAATGTTTGTCTAATCAGAAGTACAGCTTTTTTGTCTGAGTACTCGATCAACTTAGTACCTCATCCATGGCTCAAGATGGGCGTGCATATAAAAGAAAAAGCAACCAACGACTTTCTTAAGTTCATGTGCATATAAAAATCGTCTCAAAATGTTTTCCCAACAAGTATTAGTAAGTACATGGAAGGAACAACTTCTTCGGTTACTTGACATAAGATGGTTCAGTCAAATATCATATGAACAGGAAAAAGTTGAATTTCATAAATCACAACCTATTTTTATTAGGATATTATCACATCATAACTCTACATTCTATGCATCCCATATCACTATAACAACAAACCCAGTACAATCTCACAAAGTGGGGTCTAGGGAGGGTAGAATGTACGCAGACCTTAGCCCTACCTTCCGAAGGTACAGATGTTGTTTCCGATAGATCCCAGAGAAAAAAACTAAAAAGAAGCAGAAACAGCAAGTAGTAACCATAGCAAGCAAAGGTGATATAATAATCGAAGCGAAAGAAACGACATAAAGTAGAAGAAATATGCGGATACAAAGAAATGAAAATACAAGACTAATACTAATGAAACCGGCATGAAAAGGAGACATGCCTGCTTAACCACTACCCTTCTATCCTAATTCTCAACCTTCATGCCCTCCTATCAAGGGTCATGTCCTCAGTAAGCTGAAGTAGCACCATGTCATGCCTAATCACCTCTGCCCAATACTTCTTAGGCCTACCTCTGTCTCTCTTCAGCCCCCCCTCCCCTATTGTCAACCTCTCACACCTCTTCACTGGGGCATCTATTCACCTCCTCTTCATATGCCCGTACTATCTCAACCTATCTTCCCTCATCTTGTCCTCCATGGGTGCCACTCCCAGCTTTTCCCAAATATCAACATTCCTTATCTTATCTAACCTGGTATGCCCACAAAATTGTGAGACAAAAAAGAGGCCTCACACAACTAGTGTCAGTTATATGAAGCACAAAATATAAATTTTCGCACTTTACTAATGTCTCAGTATTCACAGCTAAAAGCCGGTGAATGGACAAACTCTACCCGAGGCTTTCAGTATTTGCCTTATCCACCAGAGTAACCTCAGATAATCATCTGGAACCCCAGGAAGAGACAAGATTATCAACTAATGTTGTAAAACAATGAACCCAAAACCATCTTTCAACTAAAGCCAAGACCTATCCTAAACATAACTTGTCTGATAATATCATACAGTAAAGTTTCTTGGTTTACTATTGAATGAGTTAGTGCTATCATCACGTAAGATTAACCGACTATCTTCTCAAAAAACACCCAATGCAGATTTTTTGTAGAAGCAAACTACAGAAGTAAACCGCAAGGGACCAAGACAGTGAGGCTGGGAGGTGCAGAGATGATCCTACACCATTTCATTCTATTCCCCTTCACAGTGGATATGCAAAATGTAAGAAGTTGGGTAAGCAGATAGGCCAATAGATTTACAACCACCAACCACTTAACTTCTCCAGTCAAATATATTCATATAGCTATCGCCACCATGGCAGTCAAGATGAAGGGTACCCAATTTAACCCTCTTCTTGGTAGATGAAGGTGTAGCTTCAAATATCATATCACTAAAGAAGTTATTTTCTATGTGGCTCGGACTCTCCGAAATGTCACCGGGTGCGCGTCGGATTTGCAAATGTAGTGCATTTTTGGAGGATCCACACGGGTGCGGCAGCATTTTGGATAGTCCATGCAACACAGGTTATTTTCATCTTGTTTATCTTCTTAGGGTGTTTATCGTGTGTTTGGTGTGACGGAGAGTACTTCTCTGGAAAATATATTTTCCAAAGAGAAGTCTCATTTTCTGGTTTTTAGTTGCTGGAAAACATCTTCAAACCAAAATGGAAAAAGTGACTTCCCCCGCTTATGGATGGGAGTCATTTTTCTTTACAACATCTCAAATCTTCCTCCATATCACTTGCACCAACTACTCCTTAGATATTATTATCAATCTTTAATACTCAAAAATTTCATCAAAACACTATCAAATTTGGTGACATTATTATCAATTTTAGCATTTTGAGAATCAAGTTACTAACCAAACACTCAAAAATAAGTGAGTGGAAACCATTTTTCTCCGTACCAAGAAGTCTTTCACCAAAATAGTTGCTCAATAAACTAAGCACTTACCACCTCATATCATTAGGTGGCGTCTATTTCAAGTTTTGCACAAAAAAGAATGAGAAGCTTTTTGAGAGTTTGAGAAATTTCAAGAAAAAAGCTACTACCTGTTTTTGCAAAAACAGCATCAAACAAACAATTTTCCGAAAAACTCAAAAGGTTGAGTTTGCAAAGAAACTACATAGCAAGGTGTCATATTGGCTACCTTCGCAACTTGAAATAAGGATACCGGTCCATATACAGAAGTAGATCCGCATATAGATATAAACCATAGGATTATTTACCTTTCCGATAAAATGATGTTTGTTTTCGAAAATAGCGTTATAGTAAGCATCCATACGAACACGATCAGAAAGCATCTCTTTTTGGTGGTAAAGAAAGGCATAGGTGCAAAAATAGTTGGCATAATCGACGCCCTTGTCAACCTTGGGGGCGACGCCATTAGAAGAGCTACCCATGCGGCTACCACTTGGAACTTTACAGAGAAATTTTGGTTCGAATTTTAGGGCAGTAAAGAGTATGCCTGTGTCTAGCCCTCAACCTAAATGGACAAATGGTGCACTTTCTGGCCGTTGATTCTACGAGTTATTATGCTTTTTCTTTGGGATCTTTTCCCTCCATATACAAAACTAGTTCCATCGGGCTACCCGGGCCCAAATCTAAAGAAATATAATTTGTATTATATATTTTTACAGTATAATTAATACTACTCCATAATCTAGTGGCACGTTAGAAATGTCTTGTTTGCAAATCTTCGTACTTATTAAAGTTTTTTAGTCATATAATTTTATAATCCTTAAAGAAATAGTTATTTAGGAGGAAGGAAGTTTGATAGGAGAACTAGAAATATCAAATTAAAGAGATACAAGTGATTTGATATTCAAAATAACATAATTTAAAGTATTTAAAACAATTACAACTCGCGAAGATAATAAATTGGAAATCATTAGTATTTTTATGAGTTTGACAACATATAATTTCTTTAGTTATAGATATAAATAGATTTCTTTTGATATTTATTAAGTAGCAAGAGTTTTGCTAATTAAATGTGGTGATTTAAGCTTAATTTTAGAAGAAATTAAGGGGAAAAACTAAATTCATGAAATGAATCTCAAGAATTAATTAGTTCTTCATATATAGTTTATGCTTAAGACTATTAATTCTCAATGGACCAAATAAGAGATTTTAAAGATAATTTCATCTTGACTGATACCACTACCTTCTTTTTCAACATTGCCAATAATTTTTATTTTTTAATAATTACAATACATCATAGAAATTTTAAAAGTAACGGATAGATTGTGCATAACAGATTTCTATTCAATTCAGAAAAAATAATTAGGAAAAAAACTAATTACATGAGACCCATACTTAGTTTAAAAGGAATAAAATATAACCTCATACAATTACCAAAATTCAAACCCCTTTACAAAAAAAAAAAAAAATTATTTAATACAAGTTTTAAGAAAGAAGAAAAAATCTTATGACTTGTTCATGCAAAGAAAAAAAAATTCTCATAATCGTGATATGTTTTCTCGTAAAGAATAACTATTTATATAAAAGATCTTGAGTAATTTTAAATATTTTTACCAACAATTTATTTTATTAAACTTGTAAGATGGTAGATTTTGACAATCTTCAAAAAAACATGAAGTAAGGTGCATCAAAAAGTTAGTGGTAGATGAGATAAATATTTTTAAAGGAAATAAAATAACTCATATAATAATTAAAATTTCAAACAAATATATTTCTAATATATAAAAGCAAAAGTTCACTTCACTTCTTTAACATTCTAACTTTTATTGTTGATGAAATTATGTATTTCAAATCAGATGCAGATTAAGAATTTAGAGTTTATGGGTTACGTTCTAAATTTTAATATTTTAAGTTATTTAGTTTTATACATACTCCATAAATTTTTAAAATAAATACAGAGTTTGAACCAAAGGTATTGGATTCGTCCGAACCCATAGCTAGCACTCCAGCTCACTAAAGAAGCAAAAATATTGGAGGTTTAAGGATAAAAGATATAGTAAGATCTAATAAATGCTCCATGTTATAAACAGTATTTTATTTATGGTGAATGTCTATCTTTAGAGAGATATTAGAGTTTGTTTCTTTGTGGCTAAGTCATTTTTTTCCTATATATAGAGGGGTTTTATTCCATTATAATTCATCCCAAATATATAAGAATTCTCTCTCTACTTTTCTCTGCAATTTTCTTCTTTTTCTTTTATTGTTTTATAACATGCTATCAGTACGAGACTCTAACCAATTGAGTAGATGGTAATTATTTTAATTTGTAGATATACTATTAATTAGTTATCTAATGTTTGAGAAATTAAACCACCCATGGAGAGAAGATATAGGAATTTGCGTGAGGTTCTTGCATGAATGTACTTATATTCCTACACTAGGCATCTGCTATGGTCACCAGACTTTAAGATATGTGCATGGTGCTCAACTTGTACATAATATTGAGCATAATGACTGTCAATTATTCCATGAACTTCCTTCAAGAATAAATTCTGGATTTATGGTAAGTATTTTATCTTATTTTTCTCTTCTAAATTCTTGAAATTCTATAATTTAATTTTAAATATGTGCAGAGACAATAAATTTTGATTATAACTCTAATAGAGTTTGTAAGAAATTATAACCACCCGAGGTGATAAAAATTCTGTGTCTTGCCATGATCAACTTCATGTATTATGTCAAAATATTATGGCAATATGATTATTACATGGCAAAAGTAATGGAAGCAACATATCTTGCCTATAATGATTTTGACCATGATCATAATAGTATAACTTTCTCCTTGAAAGAGATATTCACCATATGGATGTTGATGAATAAGTAATAGTATAAAATTAATTGAGAGCCTTAGAAGAGTCAATTATACTATTTTGGAGAAATAAAATTGATTATCAATAAGGTATTATATCGCGGTAAGTATCAAATAAACTTATTAAGTTTCTAAAGTATTTACGAAAGTGTTTAGTTATATTGAGACTATAAATAAAGGAAATATTTAATATCTTCTATTACTACAACTTGCAGCAGGGTAATATGTATGTGAAAGGTTACCCATTTTATTCTTCAATCTGTACTACACAAATAAAAGAATGTCACAATAAAGTAGAAGTTTATTGATATAAGAACCCATATCATAATAAACTTGGAGTTTATTGATAATTGCACATGTCATGGTGTAAACATGAAGTTTATCAATATTGATAATTTATCTAGTTGGCATAATTGGTTTAGCCATGTTAATTTAAGTATGATGTGCAAAAGTAAAAGAGAATTCACATGGGTAAGAATTAAAGAATTAGGAAGTTCTTTACGAATTATCTTATGTTGCTTGTTCTCATTAATTAATAGACCAACTAAAATTAGGATTGAATCCCATGAATANGAGAATTCACATGGGTAAGAATTAAAGAATTAGGAAGTTCTTTACGAATTATCTTATGTTGCTTGTTCTCATTAATTAATAGACCAACTAAAATTAGGATTGAATACCATGAATACTGAAAATATCAAAGGTGAATATGGGCTCATTCACCTGCCATGCATACCACATAAGATGCATCTTTGAGATGGTTACATATGCGATTACGATTAGCCCGCAACCTGGTATTTGCGAGATAACTTGCTCAATGATTTAATTAGAGCATAATTTCCAAATTTTTTATTCAAGACAATTCATCTTGATAAGTTGGTTTACATCACAGTTGGTTTAGCAAAATGATTTATTGAGTGCCTCTACTTAATAGCTAAACTATTGCTTATGAGAACAAAGTTATCTATATTAGTTTGATATACGTTACATACGAAAGTATATTGCATTCTCCTCTCACAAGTAGTTCAGGGTCAGGAACCAAATAATTTCATCTTACTATTATTGATGTGCGATGTATATTCTGATTAACACCATAACGTACAAAGGTGGGTTCTCAAAGTTGAGGAAGCAAATTAGCTTTTCTAACATGAGAGGGAGACAGGATAAACAGTTGATAAAAAGTTACATGGAATGAATTGTCATTTGTACTTTTAGATCCTCGAATAAGATAATATGAAATTGAAGTTCATAAAAAGATAATTCATCTGCAATATATTGCAAAGCATACCAAACGCATTTATTGACCTAATAAAAGTAACTATATTCTCACTACAAATGCTCCTATTAGAATAAGTCCTAAAAGGACAAAGTTTATGGTACGCTTAAAGCGTATAGACAAACCGGTTTCAAATAAAATTTTTGATAAAAAAGATGAAAGAATGATCATAATAAGGAGGAAAGTGGTCTAGAAGATCACATAATATATCACTTCATAAAATCTCAGGAGAGGTTCAGCTACGTAAAAGTATGAATGCAGTTCAATCTGCACTTCAGGCTTCACATGGTGCTTCAGTTATCCATGGATCCCAAAGTGCTCGTTCTGGACAGTTTCCATAGCCACGTTAGCAGAGAGGTTGCTTTGAGTGTGGGGATACTAGGCACATGGTGAGGGATTGTCCAAACTTCGGGCAAGGATACCACCACAGAGTACTCAGGTTGTAGGTTCCGCTCTAGTTATTACTACACCAGCACAACCAGTTAGAGATACGGGACAGGTGGGTAGAGGGCGTCCTAGATGGGGAGGCACGACCCGTTGTTATGCTTTCCCTGGTAGGTTGAGGCTGATATCACTACAGGTATGGTTCTGGTTTGTCATTGAGATACATCAATTTTATTTTGATCCGGTCCTATTTATCGGTGTGAGTTATCCTACCTTGCTTCATATATGGGTACATTTTGTGATTCTTGTACCTTGTTTATATGTCTACCCGTGTGAGCTCTATTGTGGTAAGTCATGATTATCGCTTTGGTTGGGCCACTATGGAGGATTATGAGACTATGGTAGACTTTCTGTTACTGATATAGTAGGTTTCGATGTGATTTCTGAATGGTTTGGCCACGACTTCTGATTTGGGTGCTCTGCAGGTATGGGAAGTCTGCTACATGCTGTGGTTTTGTTCTATGAGGTTGAGTTAATAGATGGTTTTTAGTTGTTAGGATGTTTATCTTACTTATAATTCCGAGTTGAGGATGGGAACATGTGTTCTCTGTGGATCGGTATGTTTGAACCGGGCTACGTGTCGCAGTGGAGTTAGGTTGAGATTTTTGTGATTAGTTCATATGCATTGCTTCTTCCTCGTGGAATGGATTCGTAGTATGGTACCGATGGGAGTTGTACCAGTTGGACTTGTTTGATAGTTCTCCCATGTGTTTATCTTTCCATATTCGGTCATTTTCGAGTTGTGCTTGTCGAGTTTGGATTGCGATGTATGTGCCTAGGTGGCGTTTGATGTGGCTTGTTGGTCGAGTGAGTAGTTATGAGTTTCATGTGTTTCTTACATTATTGGCAATGTTATGAAGGTCTAGAGCAAGTTTCTAGTCGCAATAAGGCTATTTACCGGTACCAGGTTGAGTAATGGGCAGTTATTGTGGTCAGAGTTGTTGATATGTGCATATGTGTAACGACCCGA